ATCGTGGATCTCATAATTGATTTCAGCAGCAGAGAACTTTCGAGAATAGAATGCAACCACATGGAGCTTCTTGTCTTCTCCCATTTATGAAAGTACAGCTCCCAAAGCAAAATCCGAAGCATCATTTTATAAATAAAAGGCCTTTGTAAAGTCTGGATGTACCAAGATTGGAGCCGTAGTAAATGTGATTTTTAGGTCTTGAAACGCCTTCTCCATTAGAGATCCCCATTCCAACTTATCCTTGCATGTCAACCGAGTGAAAAGAGTAGTAACTTGAGAGTAATTCTTGATGAAGATCCGATAGAAGTTGGTAAAGCTAAGAAAGCATTGTACGTCTCTCACCGTCTTTGGAACCTCCCAGGACACGATTGCTTCCACCTTCTTGGGGTCCATCTTTAAGCCTTCCGTAGTCGCAACGAACCCCAAAAACTCCATCTCTATTTGGTGAAATAAACACTTCTCTAACTTGGCAAATAGTCCTCGCTCGCGTAGTTTCTCCAAGATCAAACGAACGTACTTTTCATGCTCTTCCTCATTTTTAGAGAATATCAGAATATCATCCAAATAGATGACAACAAAATCGTCAAGGTACTCTCGAAAAATGTCATTCATCATATGTTGAAAGACCGCTGGAGCATTGGTAAGACCAAAGGGCATGACATTATACTCAAAATGGCCATACCTTATATGGAACGTTGTCTTCTACTCATCTCCTTCCTTGATTCGTACGAGGTTGTAAGCTCCCCTTAGATCAATTTTTGTAAAGATCCTTGCTCGTCGAAGTTGTTCTAAGAGACCAGAAATCAAGGGTAATGGGTAACGATTCTTCTTTGTTACCTTGTTCAGGCCTCGATAGTCCATGCGCATCTACAATGAGCCATCTTTCTTCTTCACAAATAAGATGGGTGCTCCAGCTGACGATTTTGAATGACGGATGAAGTTCTTGGCTAGATTCTCGTCGATGTACTTCTGCAACTCTGCCAACTCCATCTACGATAGATTGTAGATTGGGCCAAAAGGCGGTTGTGTTCCTTCCTGTAAATCTATGGCGTAATCATATGGTCTGTGTTCTCGTAGCATGTCGACATTTTTCTTTTGAAACACGTCTTTAAAATCCTTATATTGCTCTGGTATACTTGTTGTTGAGATCTTCTCCCAGTTAGTTGGAGCCGCATAAATGACAAATGGTGTGCCTTCCTTGGATGATCTTATAAACGCTCTTGCTCCAATAAATAAGGATTTCTCTATTCGGGGTTTTCTACTAGGCTTGCTCTTGGGTGGTTTTGTGGAAAAGGTCATCTTCCGCAACTTCCAATCTATGGATGGATTATGCTTTTCCAACCAAGAAAGACCAAGAATAATAGGATTTGATGGGGTTCTAATAATATTGAAAATAATATGACTACTATGGCCCTTAAACGTCACTTCTATAGGTTCTGATTCATGGGTGACACTACCAGACAATAAAGGTCGTCCATCTATGACCTCAATGTGAACAAGTTTGAATTTTTGTACTAAAGGGATCTTACGATGCTTCGCAAATTCTTCGTCTAAGAAACAAGCAGATGCTCCTGAATCTAATAATGCTAAGGTTCTCAGTTTCTGAGGGCCAATAAGCAAAAAGATTGTAAAACAAAAAGCAGGTTGAGCGGAAAGAAAGGAACCTGGTTGTTATTGCGATGTTTCACTGTCCAGCCGCACGCTTCCTATTGTGGCTGGGCATCCTCGTTTTCCTGAATAAATGCGCCCCTAGTCTTGACAATACGTCAATTTTGCTTCTTGGGGCAGTTTCCAACTTTGTGGCCTTCTTCACCGCAATACAAGCATAGACCTTCATCCATATGGCGCTTTTTTTCTTCTAGAGTAAGAGATTTGACACGTACCGCATCAATTTGCATGTCTTCTATCTCTGAATGTGAATTCACGTTACTTGTCGACATAGTTGAGACATGGCGAACCGTATGTTGTCTTGAACATTGATCTTGACGGCGTTGAAATAGGTGGTTATCGTACTTCACAGCTTGGCTAATAGCTTCGTTGAGCATTTGTGGATCATGAAGAGTTAACAAAAAATCCTTCACATCGTCCCTTAAACCCCAATAGAATTGACTCATCAACGCTTCTTTGTCCCAATTGATGTCGCATGCTAATTGCCTGAAGTCCGATGCATAGACTAATATAGAGCGCATCCCTTGTCGTAGTAACCGGATCTTTGTTGTAGCCCATCGAACCTTGTCATGTTCACCAAATGCTTCCGCAAATGCTTCCAAAAAGGTTTCAAAGTTGTTTAGTATGGACGATCGTTTCTCAAACAAAGGAGCAAACCATGATAGAGCTTGTCTTGTAAGTAAGGTTCCAACAAGCCCAACACGTGACTCCTCCGTTGGATAGCGTTCGCGCTGTAAAACTGTTATCAACCTGATTTGGTTGACGAATCCTCGAAACTTGGAATGCGTACTATCGAACTTGTCCGAAAGGCTAACTCGGGACTCCTTATGTTGTAGAACCAACGGTGCTTGTCGAACGTGAGGTAAAGTTGCTTCTCCAAGTGCAGAAGTTTGAGGCTGGTGCAACCTAGATTGTGCCATCCAAGATGCTACATCATTATGAAGCCTTGCCACGACTCCTTCAATCTCTGTAGTTCTTTGCGATAACGTAGCGAGGGCATTCATGATAGCATCCAACTTAGACTTCGAACTTTCCGTCATACTAATGTCTTGGCCCTCGACCATTCTAAGAGAAGGATAGAAATGACTCTACAAGAAGATAATATTGGTTTAGATGAGGGTACTCCGCAACTTCTAAAATGCCTTAAGAGCTTCAAGAAAAGGGGCAATCCACTCTCTCCAAGAAGAATAAGATTCCAATATTGTAACAAAAGAAGTATCAGTTTAGAGGAAGGTAATCTGCAACCTCTAAAATGCTAGTATACTTCCAAGCAAAGGAGTAATCCACACTCTAATGAGGAAGAAACTAACTCTGATATCTGAGGTGAGTGAAGTCTCGACAAACTGTCACGGACACAGAAATACAAACTCGAGATCTAACAAGAAGTTCAAGAAGAACTTGCAAGAACTAGATTAATCAGATGAATATAAGAACAACACCAGAGAGGTGAGCTAGAGTTCCAAGAGATGTGTTGTCGAGATTGAAGAACTCTTCAACCTCGATTCCAATATATACTTCTATTTAGGAAGCTTCTCAAGCAACTTCAACCAACTAAGAAGCTTCTAGAAGGTTCCAGAGACTTGCTTCTAGAAGGTTCTAGAAACTTATCTCTAGAAGGTTCTAAGGACTATGTCCCTAATATCTTCTACCAACTAAGAAGCTTCTAGAAGGTTCCAGAGACTTGCTTCTAGAAGGTTCTAGAAACTTGTCTCTAGAAGGTTCTAAGGATTATGTTCCTAACATATAGAGTATATTTCTAGGTTTATTTTTACATAATATGACAATGTCATTTTGCTTGACATAGCCACTAATTTGGCAAAATTGTTTTTATCTATAGAGTATTGGTTCAAGAAAATACTTGTTGATGGAAAGCTAATTCAATTTTATTTATTTATTTATTTTTTATAACTTTAAGAAGAGAAATGTATTCTTTCATATTGTCCTGATAATTACTAAGAGCTTTTTAAACTTAGTTTTACAAGTTATATGTTTTAGAATATATTAAAATCTAAGGATTTTGTATTAAAAAGATTAATCTCTTCTTTCATACAACATTTTTATTTTTATTTTGTCACAATTTGATAAGAGATGATGCAAAGCTTTAATGAGTACATTTTGATAAAAAAAAGGCTAAAGAAAAGGTAACAAAAGAATTGTCATTAGAAAGACTTGCATGTGGGAGTTATTTTTATCTCAAAAGGTTTTGTTCTTCATGCATTTTGATCCATTGCAATAATAAATTATGTTATTGTTATTACATAGGGTGATGACCAAAAACTCAAGCAGAGATGCTAAAAGTCCAAATCATCTTCTTTTATTTGCATGTGTTTTCAATGGTTTTTTGACACTTACATATATTTATTTATAAATTCTACATTTCAATTACAATTCAAAAGATGTTATTTTTTTTTTAAATATTTTTTTTAATTTAAAATTTTATACTTTTCCAGTAAAAGAGGTCTAAATAAAACAATGCAATAGAATGTGTACATATTTCTTACATATTTTAAGACTGATATGGAAGAAATTTTATAAGGATTCAAAGTGAAATTTACAAAAGTAAGAATAATCTTAATTTCGTTTATTTAACATCTTTAATTGCACGACTAAAAATATTTTCTAAATTTTCTTAAAAAAATAAACTTATTCTTATAAAATTATATTATTTAAGCTGTTAAGATCATAATATAAATATATGTAAATATATTATTTTAACTTCTAAAATATTATGAAATTAAGAAATATTTTTTAAATGTTGTAAAATATCTTGGAAGACAATATTTATAGTAATAAAACTATTATGGGCTTTTGTTTATTTGATGCAGTTAAGTTTTATAATGTACAATTTTGTTGATACAAATTATTATAGAATACTATATTTATTATCTTAAATTTAAAAAAACATCGTAAGAAGAATGCATCAAATATATCGTGATTAAAATTATCCAAGATAAAGTTAATAAAAATAAATTTGATTTGAAGAACAATTACTTTTTAATGATCTGTGCAAATATAATGACATGATAAAATGAGTATAAATGATTCTTTCTAGCTCATCGTTCACATTCTTTTCAACCAAGCAAGCTTACATTATTATACTATATTTGTTGAATTAATCACACAAATTAAAACTTATTTATAGCCAAACATTACTTTTAATATAAAATTATATATTCTTTAGTTTTAAAATCAGAATTCTATAACCAATGTTGGTGTTGGTAAAATCACAACAAGTAATTTTGATAAAACTTGAAATAAATAATCAAGATAAGACAAAAATAATCCTGAATAAAATCTACTGTGGCAATACAATCAGTGGTACAAAAAGCACATTAATACGCAGACTGAAATTAATTCTTCATAGTATTTGATTCAGAATGTAGGAAACGTCTTGCTATACTTCGAAATCAGGTTGAGTGGGATCTTTGCTTACATCTCAGGATAGTTGAAAAATTACATCCTGAATCTCAATTTCGACCTCAATTGTCAAGTATTGAAGCTAAGACGAGTCCGGTGATTCTACAAGCACTTACGTGAGCAGAAGCAGATCACGCCAAAAATGCATGGGAGTACTTTCGATGGCGCTTCCATTTATCATAGTATCCTCGGGCAAAGTTGTGATGAAAACTGCCCTCCGATCTCGTTGCAACTTGCACATAGAACATTGAAGTCTGTCAGATAAGACACAGTTCAACACTAGTGAGATTGACAAATCACATCTCATCCTATTGATCACGAAAACCTTGCCACATTTCATGTTGACTAATGTGGGTGTCCATCAAATCATCTGATAATGCTTTAAAATTTCAATAAGATCAAACTCTCATTACTCACCTATCTTAAAGGATCACAAAATACTCTGAGATAAGTTTACATTGCAATCAAAAGGGTACAAAAGCTTACACTGATTTGTGACTACGACATTCTTCCGTGGGTTGGCTGGTCACATGGCACCGAAAATCCAGATTCTTGTGTTAAAATTCCATTTTCAAATTCGCTTATGGATCAGGTAGACCCCACAAGTTCACAAGTTTTTTCCAGATCGTTGAATCAAACATATTTTACTGAGATAACTCCATCGTTGACACCGACTCAAACAATTTCGATGAAAAGAACATAGAGATGATCTGCTCTTCGAACTAGAAAATTTTCTGTGTAAAACAACTCTCACAACAAATCTTGTGGACTTTCAATATTGGGTATCCGTTACTTATGCGTCAAATAATAAGAAGATGATATTAAAGCACGGACAAGACACGTTCTGGTTTATATATAGATATATATCTACATAAACATGTATATTTTGATGCACCTTCAAAATGTCACGATAGCTTCTGGTGACCAAGTAGCGACAGGATCCTTAAATCTTGAACCAACTCTTAGACACAGCTAGTCATGTAAAAACATTACTATTCCAAGTGAGTACATAATAAGGAACCACCAAGGCTCTGCAGAGCAGTACCGATAAGTCGAGCAAGGGGAAAGCCACCGAGTGACATCTTCAAATGCTCAGGTTCTGAGATTTGTTCACAGAAATGCCCAGCTGAAAGGTTGTGTACAACTAACAAGCCCGCTCCATTCCATAATGCACAACTCCAAGAATCGTCTACCATCCTACAACTGAGAGCTTCAACGGCCTCGGGGGGTTTGTCGCCGTAGAACAATCCTATTTTCTTGCTTGGCATCGAAGTATCTCCTTCCGACCATGTATTCATCCTCCTGAATCAACCCCAAGTTCGAACTGTATATGAACATTTTTCAAGAGCACATCGATACTCATGACGAGTGACCTGACTGTTAATAATCTTGTCAAATTGATCACCCACGTGTAGCTTAGACAGGCGTTCTTACAAGTGAATAAACACCAATAATAACAAGGCTGTAATTTCAGAAGAGCTGTAACAATATAGGTGGTAAACTTAGGATGACTAAGGATAGGCACAAGGCCTCTGACGTTCTGTATTGCAAAATCATGAACCATACAACACCAAAATTAGTGAGTTTATAAATCCAAACTCCAGACATATGTGATGCATCGGGCATCAAGCTCTATAATACAGTAGTCAGTCGAGAAGTCTGCTAGGAGGCTTCTTCTTTTTACACTTACAAGACCGACACAGTGTCGGTCTGCTTTTCTAGAGGATGGCAAAGCGACCACCATAACAGAAAACACAACACAAATTTTACCTCTCAGAACTGAATCTGACTGCACTCTATGGTACCACATACAATGGCAGAAAATTCTTTACCATTTATGTACAATCAAAAACAAAAAATCCCTTTAATGGAGAAAAAATTAGTTGAGTAACCTGAAGCATGGGCCTTTTCCCTAGCCGCTTTATTTCACGATCCATCCGGCCAGTGAGCATCAAGATAAACATCTTGTAGTCGCAAATGAAGGACCATATAGGGTGACCGAAAGAGCCCGGTTTGTTGCCTTCAATGAAGAAATGGCTGTACCAAGCAAGCCCGAACCCAAACAGAGGAGCAAAGAACAGAAGCCACCATTTTATTACAATTCCAGCTATGGTAAATACAGCTGCTAAGCCGGTCGCACAGAAGTGCCATCTTCGTGTCGATATTTTTGTGTGTTGATTGACATAGAAAGGCCAATATTCTTCAAAATTCCTGAAGTGCATTTTGTCAACAATCTGTTATCACACGGTTACGTTGTCTGTTCTGCTACGTCCCTGCTGACAGATTCAATATTCACAAAAGACGTGTTGCGTCATTTTCCCTCCCTTGATAAAGCTGATGCACCATAGTTACTACTAATGAAAAGTCATGAAATCCAACCCACTAAAGTAGCATGCGAAGTCAATGACCAAGCAAGCTATGACGTTGCCAGCGTTGAATCAATAAACACGACTGCAAGTGATGTGTTCAGGACCACGAATTCAAGAATAATTTCTTAGGTCAAGAGTTCCAATCATTTTTTGGTCGCTCTTTGCAGAGGTGATTGTAATTTTCAAAAGGCTCTTCTCAAAAGACGTAAAACATACTCACAATAGCAGCGAGCATACACAGAGAATCCAGGAGCAGCGATTTAACACGAATGTGAACCAACATCTAGATCAGACGTTTAAAACTTTACTAAATCAACGCCAAAAACCGACCTCAGAATTCCCTCTACAAAGGTTCGGAATCCAAAGCTACGACATTAAAATCGACTACCGACCGTGGCGATTTCCTTTGCAATTGCTTAAAATCGGACTAAGACATGAGGCAAGGGTCCTGCGCAGATTGGCGCCCCTGATAGTCAAACCATCATAAAAGAAGCCCAATTTCTGAAATTTTCTGAATAATTCGCTCCACCGGGAATCTCTGAAACAACATAAAATCATCGAAAATTCAAAACTAGCCATCCGAAGTTCCACTGCAGCAAGTGTGTAATGGCAGGACTATATGAGAAATAACAACATAGACATTTGAGAATAAATTGGAAGAAGTAACAGATGCCGAAAAGAACCACAACATTAAAGCGCAGAAGACAGAGGAGAGGGAGAAAAAGCAATAAATAAGCGATCTCAAATTGAAGATCAAACTCTTAACCTAATTGGCGTCGCCATCGCCACAATACCTCTATCAACGACAAGAATGATGCTAATTCCCGAGAAGATTCAGTTCCCGGCACACACGCACACCCCACTTCACCGCGAGAACCCGAAAGTTTGAGAGCCAGCCATTTTCGTGAAGTAAAACCAACAACTACAATTGGACGGGAATTGTCCAGAAGATCATTCCTGGGACGCACGATGCTTCAACAAAATGCGAGGGAAATCGAGGAAAGTCTCGATCAACGATGCCCTACAAAGTGCGTTGAAAGGGAACCTGGACGAAGGAAGGCCCCCGCATGCGAACCTCCGCCGCTTGCATCCTCCGAAACTTTACAAAGTCAGCTTTCAAAAGTTTGTGAGGGAGAAAAAAGTGACAAGTCTGTTCAAAAGTTTTTCTTTAAAGTGAAAGCTTCTTTTTCCCCATCGCTGAGTTTTCTTTATAGTAACTTTTACGAGGATGCCCCATGAGCTTGTTTTGTGTCTACTGCATGGGGAAAGTGTGAAAATGTTTCTCAACTGTTGTGTCAACCGTCTATGTAATGTTTTGTTAGGGTTTGTGTAGCAATTTTGATGTGCTTTTGTGAAGGTAGCTGTGGAATATTGAAACATGACTAAGTTGCAAGCAGGTCAATGTGATAGTTAAAGTGTTTTGTTCTGAACGATGTTGCATGCTAACTTTGTGACTCTCTTTTTGCTGTGTTTTAAATATAGAATGTATAATTGCCATCTTGAATAAAAATATTATTAAATTAAATACTTTAAATAAATTTATGATTACAGAAACTTTGAAATATTTTTGCTTCTTTGGTATTTCCTACTAATAAGACACAAAAGGTTAAAGAGTATCTTAAAGATTTGGCAAAGAATTTTTTTTGATACCACAATATATCTAAAATAGTATATTTTTACAAAAAATAAAAGTTTTTTCTTTAATTAAACATACAATTACACAAGGACTACAAATTGAATTAATGAACCAGATTATAATGTCAAATTACTTGTAAGCTATCAAACATACAATAAGAATATTATTTATTTACTTATTTTATTTTATTTTGAAATCTTCTACCAATGTTCATAAGATGTAATTGCATAAATTTCAAAGCAAACTTCTAATTTTTTCTACAATTTTTCTTTTCTTTCATTTAATGTTTTTAAATGATATCAAATTGCAACCACAATAGTAGCTAATGTTAAATACTACAGTATTGAAGTTTTGTTGGATTTTGCTTCTTAAGAAATAAGAAAATTATATATATATATATATATATATATATATATATACAATTTAAGGGGTCATAATTTTTTATGATAAAGTGTTCTTGGTATAGCTTTCTTGAGAAATTTAAATATTTAAGTTCTTAAGAAAAATTTATTGTACAAAGTATAATTTTCTCTTTTAAATTGATATAATATTATATATTTTACATACCTTCAAATAAATATAATTAATTAATTAATTAATTAATTAATTAATTAATTAATTAAACATAGTATAAATTTTTATTTATTTTATTTTATTAAAATTATTTAATATCATATACTGTGTGTGTTACAGAATATACACCAAAAATTTAATTGTTCAAAAATAATGTGCCAAGAAAATTCTATAACTATATGAATTCAATTATTTAAATATTAGATAGAATTTTAAGAATATATATATATATATATATATATATATATTCAGATATATAAAAGGACTAATAACAAAAAATAAAAAAATAAACTTGTTGCAAAGGTAAATTTGTAGATAATATATGTTAAAAAATATATAATTTTAATGTCTTAAACAAGATGTTATTAAAAAATAATATCGAGTGTCATTTTATTTTTACATAAGTTATGTATATACCACTATTAACAGTCACTCTGCAGAGACATCTATAAAAAGAGTTTAGCATAGGAACCACTAAAAGAGAGATGAAAGAATGTGCAAAACAACTTGTAAAAGTATGAAAGAGGGAGGGTTTGGTTGCAATTGAATACTTTGCAACAATTCTTCATAAAGAGATGATCATGCTCAATCTCTATCTTTTTAAAGTATTACTAATTATATCTATCTAAATATATTTTTTGAATCTAAGATAGAATGTTTAAACAAATCTATTAAAATTTATAAGATTAAAGAGGCTCATATGCAAAAGAAACGTAGAATTAGTCCTTTTATACTAAAAAATTAAACATACTTCTTATACAATATAATATGCACTTAATCTTATTAATTTAAAATTTCCTTGTATAAAGTACTTAAATTCGGTTCATATACATATGTGTACTTATTTATATTTAAAAAAATACTTTCATTTAATTATGTTACATTAAATATTAGTTTTTAACATCTTAACATATCATCCTCATTTATACATTTTGATTTTTTTCCTTTCAAATAACATCAAAAATAAAAAATAAAATAACATAATAAAAATCATCAAGTTAAAAAATCATAATTAAACCTATAATCATTAAATATAATTTTATTAATCTAATGATAGCTTATGCAAGTAATTTATAATTTTTTTATAAATAATTTATTATTATTTTTTAAATAATTTATTATTTATAAATAGTTCAATAAGTTACATACATAAATTTAAAAAATTATATTACACCATATAAATTATTCATAGTTCAGCTAAAACATAACATTAAAAATTCAATTAATATGTAATATTTAATAAAAATGAACCTCATATATATATATATATATATATATATATATACATAATAAAAATATTACTTATATTTTAAAAATATTATCTACAGTAATTTAAATTTAAATATTAATATATTTTATAAATATGAAGACAGTAAAATAAATATTATAAATAAATAAATAAATAAATATGAATCTTGTTATTCACATAATATATTTTATTATTTAATGTAATAACTAGAATGAAATAATTTATATATAATTATTACTAATTATAAGTTTTTATAATATAATAATTAATTATTTGTCAATAAAATATTTTATTAATATAAAATGTATTTAATGTTGCGGGTCCTAACCCTGGGTGGCCAGAGTTAAGGCCTGCAGTTGGAGACTGGCCCGCCACCGAAGCAAGCAGGCTGGAAGCCGCCATCTGCCAGGCAGGGTACCGAGGGCGGGCTAGCGGAATGGGCAGCGGGCAAGAAACTTATGTTTAAATGGGGGCAGAGGGCAGAATTTCGCTGCAAGATATAGGCAGCAACCGGGTAACCGTGGTAGCGGGTCGATTTTTGACGGGCCGGTGGGGGCAGGATGACGGGGCACGGTAGGATAATAATGTGTTTATTCTAGATGAACGACATCCATCCTTTTAGAAGCCTTGTCTTGTTCGTCTTTCTCTCCAGCCTTGGAAATGAGGTTCTCCGTCTCCCGACCTACCTTTGCCGACACATCAAAGAAGGGGTTTATTATAATTATAGTATGTGCCTTGGTTAGATACCGAAAGTTTCTGTGCTTGTGAAGCGACTGCGTCATGAGATCGAATTTTCTATCGACGATAAGGCCGCTCGTTGCCTCCATTTCTACTGTGCATGAAGCGTCAGACAAAGTGCATTCTGCGCGACCAATCAGAGTGTGCAAAATGTCGGCATAGATTCAATGCTAACAGAAGTTCGTGGTAATGATCTTGGAAAGATCGTGGAAAAATAATTCAGTCAAGTCCACGCTGATCGGTTTACCCTCATTTTTTTATATTCTGGAGCGCTTCATTCCAAGGTTTTCGTCCCTTTCTCGGAAAGACTGTGTTGCTATATTTCGTTAGCGTTTCAGGCGATGTTGTTATTTTCTCTCTTAGCCTCTGGTAGAGTCGAGGTGGTGTGATCGCGAGTGGAAGTGTCGTTGCTGACAAACGGGCGGGGAGATTGCCAGCTGACGGCAAAATCTTGGCCCGTGGAGTTTTAATCGTGTAGCTGCATTTCCTCAAGTGACCCAGTTCAGTGCGGGGAGCAGAGCATCTTCAGAGACGCGGAGCTATCTGGTAAAGTCTTGCTCCGAAGCTCATTGTTTAGAGGTGTTGGTGTGTGTGTGTGGAGGCTTGGGTGTGGGTATGTGTGAAGATAGTTCATGCTACCCCTCAATCTTGTATTAATGCTCACAGACAAGTGTGTATTTTCGTCAACTGAGGGTTTTTCTTTAATTGCTTTTCGATTGCTAGGTGTTGAAAGTTCAGAGATCGTGGTGACTGATGATCCAACAGGTATCTAAATGTTTTTTTTGTAAAATGATCTTCTGGGTGTGTGCTACGCTAGTGATTTCCCTCCTTGTTGCTGGACAATGCATATTTTTCGTGGTAAAACTGTCTGCAAATGAGTCCGAAAAATTAGTCGCGACTTGTTGTGAGCTTCGTTTCTGCCTACATCCCTTGATATTCCTTCGATAATGCCGGAGGTTGTTTATCTGTTCATTGAAAGAAATAGAAACTGTTTCTGTATTTCATATAAGCCGTTCCTCACGCTACTTTCTCGTAAGTGTTGTTCTTCTAACCAATATCTAGCAGCTCCCCACCGTTTCAGTGGTGCGAGTCAGAGTATTCGAGGAGAGAATTTGAGATCTCTTTCTGATGCGAGTAATTCAAGAAAACTGTTTGTTTTTTCGCATTCTTGGTGATCACAACGAGTGCGGGGATTTGACATGCTACACTGATTCTGAGGTTTTTTCTTGGGTTTTCGGGCTATTTGTGGTGTGCTCACCACCTGGTCAATGTTCGGATATTTGTTGCAGGTAAAGAAGGGTTGAGGCTGAGCATGACAGGAAAGAAGCCATGCCAATGGGGGATGCTGGTCAGACAGTCGCACGCCGTTGGGCGCTTCAAAGATAGGCTACGTCGACTGAGAGACCGTGACTTTATGAGGTTTTGCGAGAAGTTTTTTTGCACGAGTGGTGCATCGGACTCGGCACACAGACACCACAGTACTGAAGGATCATCAACTCCTACCCAGTTTTATGATTCTCAAACTTTGGGGGACTGGCAAGCTCTATATGAATCCTGCGAACCAGGTCTACCGCGATTTCAGAGAAACTTGGATGGGGCACAAGATGAAGATGAGACTCCTCTTCTGCATCGCACTGATTCAGATTACTCGATGCTGCTGGATTCTGCAAGTTGCAGCGTACCCCAACATCCTCACGGTCTCCCACTACCGACGTCTAATCGGGAGGATCGTGATTTGTATTCATCGGACTCGTTCAATCCCTTGCCCAGCAGTAAAGGGAGTGCTGATGAATGTGATGATATGATCTCCGAGCTGTGTTATGACTCGAAGGGCTTGCAGCTCAATTCTAGTGCAATGGCCGAGGGCATCAGAGATGTTGGCGGTTTTTCCTCCACCTTGGCACTGTATGCTTGGGCTGTCGAAAATTGCGTTATCGACGAGGAGGAAGAACATGACCAAAGCACGGGGAGGCGAGGATGGCATATCATGAAGAGGATATTTTCTGCTTGTAAATGGATGTCGAGGATGCGGAGATTTCGAAGACGTGCACGGGCAAGAACGAGGTACAGGAGTGCAGATCACAGTGAAAGGTTCATTGGGGTTCGGAGACGAAATGGGAAATGGGTGTCAGAGATCAGGGTTTTTTCTTCATCTAGGAAAGTATGGCTTGGTTCATTCGACACGGAGAAGGCGGCTGCCCTTGCCTTTGATGCTGGTAAGTATCACTCATCTACGAGATACGACAAGTTTAACTTTCCTGACTCTCCTCAATTACTTGGGCCTAAGAAAGATCTGCATCTCCTCCCTCCTGAGAAGATTAAGACTGAGCTCAAGAAGGTCGCGAAAGATTTTGCCGAAGGAAATTACTAGATGCTTGAAGAACTAGATTGTTAGATCTGTCATTTATGCGATGACAACCACATCACTTGGTAAATATTGTAAACTAGATAGCCAGCTTTAGACGGCGAGTGTAGTTTAGTTCTGAGGATTTCGCCTAAAATCTGAAAAATTTCAGTGTACGGAGGAAGTTCCAAAGTTGCAATATAAAAGAATTCGAGCAGTTCGTTTCATTTATCAAATATTGCAACTCATTAACTCATTTATTTATGTATAACTGTCCACCCTGGCAAGGTGATAGCAGATTTTATATGCTGGTCATTCTGATGAATGTCATCGACTTCTAAAGAGTCAGAAGTTAATACCCTGTGAAACAACTAAGATGGAATTTCCACTGCACCGAGAGAATGTATGACACGCAGATTCCTGCCAAAACTCCACGAATGTCCAAGCAGCACCTACAGCGATACCCTCACGCACATTGGAATTGTCCACCAGAAGTCTTGCAATAGCCTGCGTGAGCATGAAATGGTCTTCTTTGACATCATAGGACGTACACTATCACCACTCCTTCGCTCTTTCAAGTTTTGAGTACTGCGATCGGTTGCGCGAACGCACTTTCACAACTCGCAATCTCATAAAGACTCTCCGCCTTCGACCTGTTGACGGGCGAGATAATCTTCTCTGCGTTGTTTCTGCGAGGCACCGTAACAGAAAACAGTGCTGAGAGCCGCTGGAAAGCAAAGCCATTCTTGCGGAAATATGCAATCTTTTTCAAAACACAGCCATGCAGCAGAATTAGCTCCGTGCCAAGGTTGATTTCACTTAAAAAATCACAACTATTGCGTGTCTAGTTCAAGAGAGCAGTCTGCGAGAAGATCTGTTGCAGTAATGTTTCAAGAGATCTGCATGCAAGGAGAGATTTTGGAGCAGATGTTGTGATCCAATTCACTGAAAACCCAAGAGCATTTCAAATTCTAACGACAAAAAGTCCATCAACTGGCTGTGAGAACTCTGATGTTTAGCCTATAACCTGTACACACTACAGGTTGACAGGAATGGAAAGACGCTGTTGTAAGTTTAGGTCTCCACATGTGCTAAATCTAGAATGATGTACCTTCAGTTATCCCTCCTATTTGCAATCCCGACGAAGCCTGGACAACAAAGAAGAGAGACACCTCAAGGATGTAATATGCAGGCATGTAACGGAAACTACAGGTCGGTTTGCTCTACAAAGTATTCCGCTCTTATACATACATTAGGTCTTGAGATGCATGCATTCTTGGACACGACACGTGGGCACAAGACTACATGACTTCACTTCAGGAAACTCAACTTGAAGAACAATCATAAGCGTGTACAAGAATACGGAAAAAGTTCACATCAAACATATAATGTACAACGTACCCATTCATCAATTACGAGCCCCTCCTGGACCATTGTGGTCTTAGGAACCTCCTCTTTTTCGGGCTGCAAACGAGCCGCTTCAGCAGCTTCAGCCTCTGCCAGCCGCGTTTGCAACCTGTTCAATACCTCCTGTAACCCGAAATGCAGAAGTGAACTCGAGGCTATTTTTATCATCCACAAGATCAAAGGCTGGCACAGAGAAAATAGACTGCAAAGAATACTAATATCAATTATTAGAACCTGACAACGAAGCTATACTACACACATACACAGAACATACTTGAGAAATTGCTTACAGGTGACGCCTTGTTAGGGTCGACGAAAACAACTCGTAGAATGCGCTCCACAGAAACTATATCTCTTTGATGGTCAAACTTCAAGTAGTCAAGAGAGACTATCAGTTAGCACCCCAGGAGCCAACGGGTGGTCACCCTTACGCAAGTGCGTCAAAATGCGATCATTTGCAATTCCAAGCAACACGAACATCCCTTCCATACATCACATCCTCATAAAGACACTGCATATCCCTTTGCGCTCAATAAGTCTGATCCGCCCTGACAACCACAAGCAAAATTTGTTCCAACATGTGGATAGCAATACATGTCTAAAACTTCTTCTAGTGCTTCAGAACTCATTAGCATTAGTTATACTCACCAGTTCCGGAGCATATTCGATATCTGGCTTCACTGCCAGACTAACTATCTTGAATTTCTCTTTGGTCTTTCTCTCCTGACTTCCTGTCATTGGCTCTATATACTTCACCACTACAGTCCCATAACAGCTCCATCAGTAAATAATTTGTTATGTACGACCCAACTAGCATCACCAAATTGGATGAGCAAATGAAGTCATGACAACCCACTCTTCAAGTGATAATCTCACAAGATGAGATCTGCATAGCCATAACCCATGTTCATCTTTGAGAAAATGATGTAGATTATCTGTAATTCATGAGCCCGCATTATGTTCATCATGTATTCTAAACACCATAATACACTTATCATCTAACAGGCCACCTCTTTCCAGTATAGATAGCAAGTCTATCCTGAATTCGTTGTAGACACATCAACAAATACATTCGTTTTCGACCTGTTTCCTCATAATGGTTCAGCAATCATGTTCTTGAGATTACCTGTAGCGATGATGCTTTCGTTTGGAGCAAGCACACCACTGTTGGGGCGCATAAAGCAACTCTTTGGTGCAGTTGTTTGAAACTGCAATAGCATAAACAGAGAAGCTCAAATCGTTATCTTGCAAAGCATGTCAGACAGGAAAACAATGTTTGCTCTACCGTGATTCATTATATCTTAAGGTTATCCTGCGTGACAAGCAATCTTGAGGTGTCAACAGAAAACCCCACAATTTAGAGCATAATTCACTAAAACAGTGCAGGGAGTCATGGCATTTTGAAGCAACGATATCACTCTGAACAAGCGAAAGGTAAAACCGCTAGCTTACTTTGAAAGCGACGTGTGTGCGGCTGACATTCTTGATCTTTATTGCAGTTGAGACTTGTTTCCCTGGATCATCTGCACATGCACATGCAAACCCAAAAATTTATCAGGCTTTCTCAACGAGCATGGCATATAACCCGTTTCCAATCGATGTCATTACAGGGCACACAAACAATCAGTTCATAATGATTCATGTTAAACTAAATACTCTGATTCCAGAACTTGAAGATTATGGGTCTTATAAATGGACATTGCAAACATGGCATGCTATATTATTAAAATCCAGAGGGTGATTTGACACCTCAAACACGAACACTCGCAAATGCGGCTCACAAATCAGTCAGGGAACAAACTAGACGGGGGCTTATTATCAATTGAGCTACACCGCAGCATGCCAATGGAGGGAAACAAAAACCGCGAAGGGTCAAAATCAGAGCACTAACATAGAAAGTACAAATGCTTCTCAGGGTCGAGTCGCAAGCGCCTTCGAGTCAACAAAAGAGCTTTCAGTGAGGCCAGCGAGGAGACATTTGCAGTTGCAGCTGCAGCCGCAGCATCAGCTTCTTCTTTCAGTAGCGTGTCCTGAAGAAATGGATGCTCGTACAATGAACGTTTTTTAACGGACTGCGTGTGTGCACTAGTTGACTTGGCACCCTCAGCCGAAGAGCTCCTCTCCCACGGCATCTTCAGTTTCCATGGCTGGGGCGATGCCTGTTGAAACAACCTCTCTTCCGAATTCTGTTTCTCAGAGGAGGCCATACCTACAGCTCAAAATCCTCTCAAACCCTCATTTTCTGACACAGGCACTCATCGAAAAGACCACCATGCTTCACAAACCCAACACTTGATCTCACACCTCTCCCATACCCAGAAAAGAAAAGAAAAGAAAAAAAACCTGCTCAGATCGTCTTTCTGTACGAAACCAATTCACCAAAAATTCTAAACCTAACAGGTTTCACAACAATGCTACTCTCAAAAAAACGACACGTGATGCCTCAATTTCTCACTAGTCGCGTTGTCAGGCACCCTACTTTTCTCCGAACGTTCATCTGGTTTGCTAAGAAACACAGCTAGGGGGAGAGAAATCCCGGAATAGCAAGAACTGATTTTAGGCACGCGTTGGAATTGACGAACGCGAGGGTACGTTGCGTAGCAACCACGAGTCAGTAGCTATGGCGGGACCCCGAAATTTCACACAAAGCTAGCCATAGCTGGCAACATCGTCGTGACTTGCCGTGGGAGCTAACTGATCAGGGTCACCCGCTGTGAAATCCTGGGTCAGACGGTCCACCAGGGGGGATAATCGATTCCCACGCTCCCACATACATACACACACAAACAAAACGTAACAAAACGAAAAACGAAAAACGAAAAATTAAAACCAGTTAAATCCCCAATTTTAAGTGCACTTTTCCACTTCTCCCTCCCTCACAAACCCACTATCCAATTTGACTAAACCCAGTTTTACAAATCCATGTGATTCGCTCACTCACTCTCACTCACTCACTGTGTCTATAATTGGCGTTTCCGAATTTTCTCACATCCGCTGCCCAATTGTAATAGGCATAATATGTTGAGCTGTTCCAGTCACACAAAAGAAAAGGAAAGAAACAGTAAAAAAGAAAAAGAAAAAGAAGAGTAGTAGTAGTGGTAATAGTAGCTGACCCACTTTTCTTTTGGACTTTTCAGTCTTCCCTCTTCTTGCTTTAGCCCGTCTCCCTTGAAAAAATAACGCCTCTCCACCAATATTTGAAGAGGCATCGCCGTCCTCGTTTTGACTGCCAAGGGAGTAATAAAATAAAATAAATAATTAGGGAGGGGGGAGGCTTACCCACATGATGATAAATGTGCTGCAAAAGGGGGTGTTCTTGCAACCCCCCTAATGTGTATAATTTACCATGCTTGGTTACTACACCTTTTGGGTGGGGTGCCCCCTTTTTATGATTCCAATATTGTAGGTTTGTATGGATACTAAAGCCAAAGATAGTTTTATGTCCACCTTCAATATCTTGAAAAAATTTCTCCAAAACTTAGATATAATTTGAGTTCCTTCACTTGGTTACAACTTAGGGTCTCCACCCATTTTGTACACACTCCATCAAAGGTGCTTTTGCTCTTGGTATGGAACTTAATGTAAATGACCTAAAACCATGTTTGTTATGGTGTGTAGCTTGTGCAAAGGGGGCCTCTTAAGTATGATAAGTAAAGCCTATCTTAATACATAAGATATAATATCATGTTAATTGAATTCATTTGACTTTTTTGATTGTTTTATTGTTGAGTAATGTTTGATTTTTTATTTTAAAAGTTTATTTTAAAATTTTATGTCAAAAATTATAAATTTGTCCTAAAATTCCAATTAATGATTTATTTGTAAAGTAATACTATGAAAAGTAAACAACATAATATCAAAATATTGCTTAAGAATTTATTATTATTATTCTATTTAGTAGCATATGCATTTTTAATTTAATTTATTGAGGTTTATTATTTCAAAGTGTCAATTAAAAGATTTAAGATATATATTATTTTTATTATATTTGAACAATGACATGTATTTTATTGTTACTTATGTATATAAATTATAATTCTTATATATATATATATATATATATATATATATACTTTATAGACATGTATATTTTTTTTATTATATTTAAATTTCATATTCTATTAATATATGTATAAATCTTGGCTGTATTTTTTGTACAATGTTGCATATAAATTAATATTTTTAATATATTAATATCAAAGCAAAAGAACTTAATACTTGCACAATATTATAAAAGTTCTAAAATTCTTTTAAAAGAAAAATATATCATTTTAAAATCTTATTTATGATTTGGAATATATATAATAATTTATTATCATCTTTAATTTATTATTTAAAAATATTATTATTAAAAAAATTTATTTTAAAATTAAAATGAATTAATTTTTTTTATTTGGTCCTAATAAAGATAGAAAATTTAACCAAAATTAAAATTTATTTCTTTTTCAATAAAAAAGATTTATTTAATTTTCATGCTTGAATAATTAATTTTTTTTCTAAAATATTAATATTATTAAAAAATTATTATTATTTTTGATTAAAACTTAATATATTTAAAATTTAAATTTTTTTAGTATAATTTTTTAATAGATTATATTTTATAAAGTATAAATAAAAATAAATAAAAATTAAAGCAAGTTTTTATAATTTTTAAATAGAATTTATTTTTAGATATAATAATTTATATTATTTTTTAGTTAAAAATACATGCTTTTGAGAGATTGGTATTGCATGGCAAAGCTTAGATATAGGATTTGAAGTATTACTAGGATTATGTAGTTATTAAAGATATGAATCTCAAAAAAATAAAAGATCAATAAACTCTTGTATTATTTTATAAGACTAAAAAATCATGTAAAGCAGGTATAATATTAAACTAGAATAGCTATTGCCAAAGATAAGAAGACTAAAAAGCAGTGAAATAAGACAAAGGATTAGAAAGACATTGATAAGAGTGAAAAAAGCTTCATTCTTGCCTCTACATATACTATCTAATGAAAAGTTACATTGTGACATTCTATATGACCTCCAACATGTGTCTAATTTGCAAGATACTTGCCTTAACTTTCAAGGCAAGTTTTTTTATATATGCATGATATAGTTAGCTTATACTACAAGCTATCAAAATGTGCAACATGTGGCTAACTTATTGGTCGAGTTTCTAACTTATCAATCAACTACAAACACGTGTAAAGTCAAAGCCATGTCTATCAAGTTTTTAAGAAACTATTCTATAAGATATTATCAAATTAATCTATTATTATCTATTTTTAGTTATTTATATTATCTAAATAATTATTGGAGTATATATATATATATATATATATATATTTGTGAAATTATTGACCTCATTTTCTTTTAGGAACAAGTTTTGTGAAGAGTTGTGATCTATCATGGACATATATAGATATTTTAGTAAATATCTATATGATTAGATAGGAATAGATAAAAATAGATAAATATAGATTAATTTTATAAGACCTTTTAGAGAAGCTTTATATAAGCTCTATAGATGCTACTTGACTTAACATGTGTTTGTAGTTGATTGGTAGGTTAGAAACTTGGTCAACAAGTTAACCACATGTTGATAGCTTGTGAAATAAGTTAATTATGTGGTGTACATATAGAAAACTTACCTTGCAAGATACGATATGTATCTTGAAAAGTCAACACTTTTTTGGAGGTCCTATAGGACATCGCCATGTAGTTCCTAGTTAAGAGTATATATGGAGGCAAGAGTGAAGCCTTCTTCACTCTTGTTAATACCTTTTTAGTCCTTAGTCTTGTTCGAAGTCTTTCTAATCTTCTTGTTTTTGGCAATAGCTATTCTAATTCTATATTATATCATCTTTGAGTGACTTTCTAGCTCCTTTTAGTGATACATGAGTGTATTAAGGATTTTCTTTCTTTGAGATTTATATCCTTGATAGTTTGATAAAAATTTTAATATACTATTTTTATCTCATTATAGAAGTGATTAGATTATCCTACTTTTATTGCTATATTTTGAAGGTTACAGATTATCTATCTTTAAATATTTTTTTTATTTTCTAATAGTGATTTTTTCCTTAAAGAGAGTAGATTATTCTTCTTTTTGGAAATTTTTATTAGAGGATGTGGATTATCTTCTTCTAATTTAATTTTTTGAATTTTTTTAAATTATCTATGGAAAGAAAGATTATAGATGCTAATCTTAGTAGAAGTGAGAATAGATTTGCAACTATTACGGATCTTTATGAACTCATCAATACTCTAAGAGTAGAAATTTCATGTATTTCTAACGTAAATCATGGAGGTACTATGCCTACGCCTATAGAAGGAGTTCAAAGTATACAACAAGAAGTTGTGCAGTTGAAAGAAGTAAGTAGGTCGACTTGACAACCAAATGTAAAAAGTTTTGCTTCTACTAGTATGATGGAGACAAGGATTAGTATGCTTGAGAAGTTTCTTGGAACAAAATCAAAGTTTTGAAGATTTTTGCAACAAGTCAAGCTCTATTTAAGGTTGCATCCTTTCTAATATCCTAATGGATTCACTCAAGTTGGATTTATAGGTACACTTTTATCGAGAAGTTCTCTCTCTTGATTTACACCTTTAATGGAAAAAAGATTCATGACTCTATGATTTGAATTCATTTCTAAAAGTGTTTACGGCCAAATTTGGAGAAAGTGATCAAGAAAGAGTAGAAGAGACTAAATTCTTATCTTTATGACAAGGATCACGGTTAGCTACCATATATATTGTTGAATTTCAAAACCTCACTTATAACATCGATTGGAGTGACAAAGCCCTTATCAATCAATTTCAATATGGATTAAAGGATAATGTCAAAGATTTATTATTGACAATACCAAAGATACAACCTTTGGAACAATTTATTACTCAAGCTATTGCATGTGATAATCGATTATTTGAAAGACATCAAAAACAAATATATAGCTAGAGAGGAAGAAATCAAATAATAATGACAACTCTTAAGTTTTCAAAAATTTATTTATTAAAGCTTAAATCAATACAAATTGATGCGATATATTTTAAATCACTCACATAGCTAAAAAAGAGTCAATGATATTGTGGAGAAGCTAAACATACTACTCAATATTGTCCAAAGAAACAATTTAATTACAAAATGAGAAGCACGATTTCCAAAGAAGACAATGTGTTGAAAAATAAGTTGCTCTAGCTACAATAGGAATCGTATAGCTAAAATCATATGTAATATCTAACAAAGGTCTTATTTTCTCCTCTGATCTCTCACCTTATTTTATAATAGAAGTCTATTTAAAACCAAAAAATTACAAAATCTTAGCCTTGTTGGATTCAAGAGCCTCAACTTGTTTTATAGATGAAGATTTTATCAAAAAATAAGATATATCCTTAGTTAAGAAAATCAAAACTCTGCATATAGAAGTAATAGATGGATGTTTATTGTCTTACGGGATGTTACACATGAAACTATTCTTATAGAAGTAGCAACTAGTGATCACAATATTTTAGTAATATTTAATGTAATTAAATATTTTTTTAATCTAATTATTTTAGAATTATTATTTAAAAAGATATAATTCTCAAATAGATTGGATTTCTTGC